GTGCAATGTGATATCCCACGTCAATACTTGTGCAGTGGTTCGTCTCCCAAGTATATGGGTAAGAATGAGAAACAATAATTCGCGGACAACTACAAAAGAATGATTGATAATAGTTAAATGTTGATTAGAATTCCCATAGGTCATAAGAGTAAACACGAAGGGACTGAAAATCAAAGAGGCTAAGAGGGCGGAAAGCAAGCGAGCTACACAAAAGTAATCAAACTTTATGCTATTTACAAACTAAAATTTAAATATTGTATAAATCGGAGAAAAAGGGTAAGGAGTACTTGAACCTACTTTCCCCAGCTGCAGGTTGAGTTGAATTTTTCCGGTCCACTGGGTATCTTGGTCAAAAATAGTACAAAGAGACAGTTACAACAATGACTGAATGAAAAAAAAAGCAATATGTATCGAGAGAGTGACAAGAGAGAACAATTTTATCGTGTTCAAAACATTCCATGTTATATTCGTACCTGGAAATAAGTCGTAAAAATTCCATTATTCCTCAATATGTCCACTCTAAACGTTCCTGGAAAAATATGGATATTAGGAAAAGAGGTATGTATAGTTTCAATATCAAATTAAATGTGGTCCTAATTGAAGGTATACTTCATTTTGCGCGTGTCCGTTAATGTAAAAGTGTAAAGTTTTAGAACTGAAAAGAATGGAACAAGGGCTGCATGTGCAATTGCAACTGGTGTGCTTATTCCGCTTTGGCGCCACTTGCAGACTTATTCTAACTCGGTAACAAAGTGAAATGTAACTGTTTTGAGAGGGGTAGGGGTTAATGCCTGTGGCGCTGCGCTGTTGGGGATATAACAAGATAATCTGGTGTTATGAAATTAGTTAATAATGCAAATTAACCACTGTAAAGAGTTTCTGAAGGAGACGTGGTCAGAGCTAATAGAGGAATTGTGGGTTGTCGGTGTAGTTAATACAATCTCTATTCTCGTGTTTTTCATGTTAAATGTACTATGTAACAATCAGTAGTGTGGCTCTATCTTTCTGTACATAAACCACAAGCAGACCACAATCTGTAGCTGTTTTACACTATTAAAAGAACAGTAAAATGAGAAAAATTACGAAATCGTGCTCGTAAATTTGTATAAGCTTCGGTTTTTAATCCTTTATTTTTTTGGTCTGATTTTTTTTCTTCATAGTCACTCATATCATTTTTTGGTTTCCATACAGTTTTGCATTAGTTTTCGACAAGGAAAAATAAGGTCTAATTATTTTCCTTCTTCTCTAACATCCCCTTCTAGCATTTCTAAAGGAAAATAGCATTTAAGGAAATTTAATATCATGGGAATCTTCAAAACTTTGGAATGAAGTGAGTCACTACCTCTACCTTCTGTATTTGTCATTTTATGTAAGTCCTCGTCGCCCAGTTTCCGGCTTGTGATATTCTTGTCCGAAAAAGGCACACACAATATGGAGTTGAGACAGTTGTTAGCAGTTCTCTGAAGATGATCGTTATTCTTAGAACTGATACTCACAACTAAGGTCCAGCCTCCACCTGAAGATCAAACATTTTTAGCATTAAAAGATGTACCGACTCGATTGCTTGTGATCGAATATTTTCTCCTATTTCGGAAAGTGAATCTCTTGGAATTGTTTAGCCACTTTCTTATATTAATTACACGCTTCCTTTACCTACCATAATTTTCCATATCGCAATACACTTGTGCGTCTCTGTCTCCGATTTTTATCCAAAAATATCCACTGTTAACCTGAGGCCATTCCTGGTGTATTTCTCCGCAGGACTTGAAGCCAATTTTCTATTGGAAGGAAAGAGTTAAAAAAAGAAAAACAAACTATAATAATATGCCTATTTGTATCACGTTTAATTTATAGGCTCCACCGGCCGCCGTGATATCATGACTACCTCCACGAAAAGTAATGAGCACATCACTAAATAATTACAATGTTAGACAATCAAATATTCTAGCTGAGCTATCATCATAAAACGCACTCGTTTCTCTGACGAAAAAAAACTTAACGGATAATTAAGCACATTGTTGTTTCTAAGAACCAGTTACGACTGTTTATATTCAAATGATGCCAACTGCGAGAAACCTACGGTTATATTCAGCGCGACTGGTTTAAAAATTTAGTTGAAAGCCACTGGAATCTACTTATGTCTTCTTTCTCAAGAGCAAAGAAATGTAAACAACCTCTTTGCCATACACTGTCATATGACCGTCCTCTAATATTGTTTCAAATGATTTTGCAGAGCTCGCAAAAGGTTATACTGACGCAACTTGTCACCCTGGTCGCTCTTTAAAAACTCAGAATAAAAGTTTTTTTTTCTGTTAATCTCTTTATGGCCGTTTGATAACTCCTGGCGAGCCACATACTAATTGGACCCCTGTCAGATTTGATAAAATGTCACAATTCCTACTTGAACATTTCTGTGTCCATTAGGAGTGTCCATGTACACAGATCCTGCCCTCGGTCCATAATCCTCAGGATGAGTATATTGGTCTGAGTCATTTAACTCACATGACTTGTCCCCCAGGCGAAAGTTCAAACTTCTACAGCGGATGTAAATAGAGCAAATCGTAACACACTCGGAGAAACTGGAAGAAACGGTTGTCAATACTTCATGACGAGAGAGGTAATGGCCGTACACTGAGTATATAGACGGATGGCATTGCTTCAAAGTTTGGCAAAACATTGCCATACTTATTATGAGGATCAAATCAAGATAAAGCAGCAGCTCGCTGGACATCACAGGTACCTTCTGAAATCAAATGTTTTGTTCAAAACTTTAAAATCTACTGCCAAAATTTAAGTAATACACAAACTTTATCTAATAATTCGCGTGTTCTACTGTTTTCCTTGTGAGTCTTTCGGTAAGAGTTTAGCGATACGACATAGACGAATTAAGTTAACGAAGGAATTTCTTTACCTTCAACTTTACTTGATCAATTGGAGATAGTAGATAGTTATCTCAATAAGTTATCTTAAAAACAGAATTAACCTTGAGTAATTCTTTTCTTAACACGCTTTTTACTTCACGACCGTTTTGTGAAGAAAATCTTTCAAATGTTGATAATGTTTGTGATAAGGGAAAGGAGCCCCATACTTTTGATTTGGACCACGCAAGATCTGCTCGTAGGTTAAGGTCGTATGTTCAGCACATAGTACTATTTGATACTTCCGAATATCTTCTAAAACCAATCTTAAAGCATATTTTTAAATCACCAGTTTAAAATCCAGCATTAAAGAGGAGATAAAGCATCACAAAAAACGAACTCACGTCGGAGATGATGAATCGAGAGTGGTGTGAGCTCTCAACACAATGCAAGCAACTTCCTTTTGGAAAATAATCAGAGCACGAGAAATAATTCCAGTAGTTCAGATTTCTAACAAACAAACGAAAAATTAACATAAATAACCTTAAAAAACCTGGTTAGAGAAGAAACAAAGCATTTATTTGACAGGTGAAAATTCCCTGCTGTGCTGCAAGAACCCAAAGCGATAATTCAATATCGTGACCCCTCTGGTGCAAACAGAGATAGTTGGTGATCATCTTTTTTTTTCTAGTGATTCTGGCTGTAGCAGTTGTTACAAACCATTAAAAAAATTTTTCTAGTAAGAAATGATTCTTCAACGCCCGATAAGTCATCGTGGGAGCATTTACGTTGTCACTTTGACTCATTATTATTGTCACAAGCTCTTCTTATTTTCATGTTTTAACATTGACCATCAGCAGGTGCATTTATTTGGTCATTTTCTTTTCAATCAATTAGTTAAAGTTCCTATGACACTAATTTTTTTCTTTTACATTTTTGTTTGATAGCTGTACTTAGACTGTATTAAGCGCCTAGCGAGTTCACCTTAAATATTTTTTTTGTGCACTGAAAGTACGATTTGGCGGCCAAAAAGAGTACCCATTAAGCGCGCGGCAAAAACGATCATGTTACATCGTTGTTTACTACTTTGAAAGGATGTAGCTGTATGGCCGAATTGACGCTTTTCGATCGTCGGCCTTATGCTCCGTACCGGCTGTTACAAACACATGCCACTAGACAAATTAGGGGAAGATTACAAAAGAATTCAGCTTAAAGCAATGCTGATTAAGAAGCCTGTTCCCACACCGTAAACGATTGTTCAACATTATTTTCGGCTGACATGTCGCGAGCGAAGAATGGTCGGAGCTCCTTATTGTTCAGGTTTATTTCACGCACCTGACGGATGTACTTATACTCCTTGGCTTTCCACATGACTACATTTGCGCTTTTCTTATCATATGATTATCCTACTAATTGTAGTTTCCATCGTTTTTTGTTACCAGAAATGCATAATTTGTGAAAAAGTTCAAGCCCTTCCTAAACTGACCGAAATCTTGTTGTGTGAGTGCGAAACCTCTGGCGAATACTGGGATAAACACAAGCTCGAAGGGCCCGTATATTCTTCTAACCTAACTTTCCGAAAATACATCCCACGAGCCATCAATTCCCCCCTGCCCTCAAGAAACTTAAAAGTAGCAACAATAGCAATGTCAATGTGATAACAGCACTACAACGAGGTAATTAAAAGAAGCAAAAAAATTTATTGAATTAGATGGTAGCGAATCCAAGCGCTGTGTGAAAGTCGATGCATACAAAATATTAATTTACAATCATGATACTGATGTCAGTTATTTGCCATTGAGCGAAATGGGTCATATGACAATGCTGTACTTAAGCTAAAGAAATTTTCCTTATTAAAATCTCTATTTGAGTTTAACTTGAATCAGATAAACTTACTCGTTTTCCATTTGACCGGCTCAACGACGACGGTTCCTCAGCCTTTGCAATTTTTGAGAAAGGAGCAACTTGTAGTGAAACTGCCAGACGACTGCTCGGCACAAAATCATCGTGCTTCGTGATAAAGCCGATTCTTTCGCCAAAATTTAGCTGACGGCATGCTAAAGGAATCATTCTACAGCGACGAAACTCTAGAGCACAGACTAAATGGAACCTTCACTGCACTTAGTGCGTAGGGATAAAATGTGATGTCAACAAAAACGACCTCAGCTACCCATTCCTAACATAGATTTCGACAAGACGCAAGAAACCGTTTTAGTCAGTCTTCGTCGAAATCTTCGTTTGATGCACGCGGTTCCGTCGGGCTGAACCGTACTCGCGACTTCCATTTCTTCTTTACCTCTTGAGTACGATGTATCGAAACTCTCGGTGGAGCTTGTTACTAGCAGGTATACATCGTTATCGGACATCATTTCAAAAGTATTTCAACGCTGACTGATGCAAAATTACAAGAGATGTGATAGATTTGTAAGTGTCAACTAAGAGTTTTCACAATTTTCTACGTCATCATCCACTAATTCGTTACAAGTCCACGGGACACTTTTAGGACAAAAAAGGGCACTAAAAAAGTTTTAAGATTTTTGAAAACTTTCTTATATCGAAATTGGTTTGTACATATGATAAGCCAAATATTTACGCCAAAAAAAAAAACAAAAAAAAAATTGTGTCATAGACACTTTAAAGGAATTCAGGAACTAGGGGCTAGAACCAGAAAGAATGATACTTGTTACCTATGACGAGTAAATGTGTGAATGATCGTGACCCTTAGAGTTTTAAAAAAAAAGCTTCCGCGTGATTCAAAGCAACGCGATAATCAGATGATAGCAGACGTCTATACACGAAAAAAAGTGCGTGAATCCGGGTGATATGATTGTGCGATTTAATTATATTGATGCTTTTTAAGGGTAAATTGAATTTCGTATAGTAAAATTTTGGTCTGACCTCAGGATGGATGAGACGCAAATTGTATCCGTCAATTGTTTGTGATTAATGACATCTCCACAGTTTTGCCAAAGGAATTTTGGAGAACAGGATAGAAATGTGATGAAGACAACCTTCACAAGAAGACTTACCGCCTTCTAGCTGACATACCCCTGCTTTCTGACATGCTTGTTTATTTGTTTTTATGATAAATACAAATTTTTTGTTTTTGTTTGTTTGTTTGTGTTTTTTTAGGAGGGGGAGGGGCGGGCTGGTATATATTCATTTTTGGTGACCCCGGCAAGTTAAACATAAATAACATACGATGTCTATATTTTCACCTACAGATTGATTTTTAATACCATTTATCAGGCTTTTATAACTACATCAAAACGAAGATATAGGCAGTCTGCATCCTTGCAAGAGGCTAGCCCTTGAACAAGACTAATAGAAAAATTCAATATCATCAGTTCAGGTCTTAAAAAGTTAGGGGCTTTAAAATGTGATGAGTTTCGTAAATAAAAGTTAACATTCCTCTAAAGAGACACAAAAAGTATTTCCCAAATTATTTAAATCAGCAAATAGACGTCACAATACATTGGTCTGTAAATGCTCCTACGCCGCAAACTCAGTCTGCTGAGGCTAGTGACAAGACACATATTTAACTTCGGTCATATGCATGATTTCTGGATTTTAAAGTGTATTCCCATTTCTTAGATAAGAAAAAGCAGTGAATTACATTTATCCCAGTCTTCAGCAAACAAATGGTGACTTTTAGACATTACAATCCCAGAGCAAAAGTCCAAGCTACTACTTATCAGTCATGGTATGGCTAAATCTGACTAAAAAGAAAGCTTGAGAATAAATGATTGATACGAAGCGATATTGTTTTCTCAAAAGCGTGCAATGATTATTGTGTGAAAATCAACTCCACGCATTTTCAAAGCTTGCCTTAATAGATCATCGGTGACATAGGCAATTTCATGCATTCTTTTACAACCTCAGGGCGACTCTTAAACAGCTCTGCAATTTTTTCCATCAAACAGCGCGTGCTACTTCCTATTTCCTTTATCAAAGTGCACACGATGGCTCCTACCGCTACCTCTTTAACCATAGTGCACACAATGTTTGCTATTTCTCTGATCAAAGTACACATAATGTTTGCGTTGACGTCTACCACGTGGCGTCCAAGACCTGCTCCAACGTCTGCCATGTAGCACATAGTATCCGTCATCATGATAGCCATAGTGTCTAACGACGTGTGCACCAAACTTGGCCAGGCAGCTATCAAAGGATCTTAAATATTTCAAGTGCTTTTATCCTCCTCGCCGTCTGTTAGCGCGGACTTTGTCTTTTTTTGTCTGCTGCTTTTTTTCTGCAAAATCAAAAAAAATTTACCATGTTTTATGATTTTCTAAAATAATACAGTTCGTTTTCCCCACAAAAACCTATTGGGGACTCTCACTATAGTTTCCATGAGTCAGTCAAAAGCGCTTTTGTAACCAAACGTATTCAAAACTTGATAAAGGAGGTAAGTTTCTAAAGAAATTGTGGTGCTGCGTCGGTGGGAAAGCGACAAATTTAGTATTATTAACTGTGTTGATAACGAAAATTAGCCACCGTAAAGAGTTTCAAATTAAAGCTTAAAGTTTTGTCCGTTAGCCCTTCGTTAGAGCGAAAGACGAAGGGCTAACTAACGATCGAAACGTCAGCTTTGTATTCAAAACTGGTCTACCTTGATTTAAGCTGTTGTTCCTTTGACCTCGCTTTGCTTGTTAGTATGACTCATCAATTTTTACTTCCTCTGATTTTTCGCTAAGAAATAGAGGAACTAAAAACTGCCTGGATCAATGCTCTAATTTGAACATGTATGCCTTAACCACTTTGATTCGACTTGGAAACCACACTGGAGACAAAGAAACCAAAGACTTTAGTGAAACCAGCTATTTCTTTTTTTGGGAGGGTTAGATCCTAGTCATGTTTCAGTGTTTAAATACAACTTTTTTTTTCCAATTACCGAAAATCCTTTAATCTTTCTGTTGCGTCATAACATTATAATACAGAGGCATACTCTGTACACGTGAATCAAGCGACCCCACCGAACGACCTTCACTGACCTTCTTCAGATACAAATGTTTTGGAACATCATGATAAAGAAAAAGGTATTGCGATAAGGAAATTTCATATTTTTTTGTTCCTACTGTAATCATTTTCGAAAATTTTACATAACTGTTCATGACGCAGGAATATTTCTTCATCGAACGAAAGAGGAGGATACACTGGCCAAAGATCAAGAGTGTTCATGAAGCCCCGCGGTGAAACACGAGATGTTGCAGCTTGGCGTTACGAGTGTACTTTGTTATGAAACATACTGAAGAGATTTAAAAAGCAAATGATCCCGCCCTCGGATATTTACGGACTAAGCTCATTCTCCACATTTTTTTATAAAATAGAGCTGTCAAGTTCAAATGAATCAAATTGTTTAACTCACCAGAAAAGTTACAATAAGCAGTGTTAGTTTTTCGAAACAAACGAAAATCGACCCAAAGATTGGCACTCGTGCTACTCAGTTTGTTAGGCAACAATTCGACTTACTACACCGTGTGCCGACAAATATTTTACCCTCCTAGACAAAATACAGAAGCAATTGAAAATAGAACTGAAACACGAACCTTTGTACCACGACCTTGTTTATAACCAGAACTCCTTTTTTGCTTCAATCTTCAGAAATGATCCTCGAAAGGAAATGCTCCCAAGCAGCTTTGGAAATTCGAAGACAGACTGTTTTGGCGTCTTGCAAATCGGCGCAGGATGTGATCTTGCGCCTGACGTTTTCGTGGTTTTAGTGGGAAAAAGGCAACACGTGTTTTGTTGCTAACAGGATGAGTGACAGTTGCTCGTGGAAACTGTCACCATTATGATGGGTAAATCCAGTCAGGGTCAGACAAGGTACAAATTGCTACAGCTGATTAGATTGCATGATAAAGAAAATAAAAAGGAAAGGCTACACCGCATGCCTTAGACTACAAAAGCGCCATCATTTGGATCAAATGCAGTTAAGGCTTTTTACCTTATTCTTACTTCTTTTTTTTTCCTAACCTTCTTTTGTACTAAAAACAATGATGACCTCCTCCCCTCCGCGTGCGTTACATTACATGTATTATGTAACTTACACTTCGCTGCGGGTGACTCCGGATCAAGTGCAGTTTTGAATGGGTAGAAAAAGACAACTTAAAATTTCTTACTCTTTGATTGCTATTGAATCGTCTAGCTTTTTCGTTGGTCAAAATTTATTGATGCAGTATTAATCAGGTTCTGTAACGCAGCAGCGATGGTGTCACTATTTGTGAACGTGACTCTTCGTCTTGTTTACCATCGATTCTATTCTGTTTTTCGATCAGACTATGCCTAGGTGATGAAGAATTATCCACCGACACTCGAGCTCATTACACGAAACGGAAAAAGAACGTGCATAAGAGCGGTTTTGTGTCACA